AGCAGTTCCAGCAAGGAAAACTACTTGGTGAGTCCCTTGCAGCATTAATGTAACTTGTTCTTTTATCTTCTCCAGAGATACCCCATTTGTGGCTGGATGGGGAAATCTGCCTAGCCAGGYTCCTGCAGTTGATTATTCTTTTTCGGGCTTTGAGGAAAAAAAAAGAGATTTARTATTTGCAAAATGAGCAAGTGTATGTGAGAAAATTGGGTTGCAGGCATCTAAGAGGTTTGATGTTTCAAGCTTTGGCAAATAGTTGTGTGTTCTGAAGTCTTCTGGTGATGAGACCTTTGTCCAGTTCTGCTACTGAACCCGAGCGATGACAGTTTGGAGATCTGAGGAGGACTTCATTAGAGACTGCAGCAGGGCAGCTTCCAGAAGGAGTGCAGCACCCTCAGGAAGGGGTGCTGACATAGGCATATGCACTGGTGATTGTTACTGAAGAGCTGCTCATCCATGCAGCTGCAGAGAGGCTGCGTGCAGTGTTTGTTCTTTGGTCTRTGCACTGGGGTGGGGAATTGCCAAGCTTTAACTGGATGATTTCTCCTTACAGCCTGCATTGCCTCCAGACCTGGACAGTGTGGCCGAGCTGATGGCTACGTGTTGGAAGGGAAGGAATTAGAGTTCTACTTGAGGAAGATCAAGGCCAGAAAAGGCAAATGAATAAAAGCKATTGCCCTGAGAGAACGAATAAAACCAAGAGTCTCCCATAGTAACAGGTTGTGTGCTCATTTTTGTGTGCTCATTTGTGTATGGGGGTTGGAGGGGGCTTGGGTATCTCTGTCTGCCTTGTAAAATATTAAAGATGGATCTGTAGGAATCCCTGAGCCCTTTAATGTCCTCAGGCAAAACTTGACCATRCATATGCTCAACTAAAACATCTCCCTGGGTTCTGAGACAGTGACTTAAAGGACCAAGTGTGTGTGAAAAAGTTGGAAGAAGTGGAGAATGTCCAGTATTGGAAACCTCTGGACAGGAGGAACATGCAAAGAATTCTGCCTTCCTGGAAGCTTCTGAGGTCAGCCTGGGCACACATCCCCCTGTTCTGTGCCAAGTCAGCATGTGCAGCACTTGGGGTGTTGGAGAGGTCCGTGGGGAAATCGSCTGTTAAGTCTTGACTGAAAACTTGGCTGTTAGATCCTCAGCCTCTGCAGCTGGTAACTCATGCCTCTGCCTTTCATATTACATGAGCTCMCATCCCCTGGTTCAGGCCAGCAGCCCCTTTCTCTGTTGCTTGGTGTTTCCTGCCTGGTTGTGTAATTCCCTGCAGGGTCCAGTATCCTGTAACCAAACTCAGTGGCACTGCTCAGTTACCAGCTGGTCTTTCCCTGACCTCCTTGGTCTCATTCCAGTGCAAGATCAATTCCTTCTAGCAGAAGGGCCAGGCTCACATCATGGTCTGTCCCTTTCGAAAGCTGGATACAAGCTCCAGCTTTCTGACCTGTCACTTGTATTGGAAATGGAAATTTGTGGTGAATAAAACCTCTTCTGGATGTTTTGGGCTTGTGATACTCATTGAGGCTCCTATCTTAAGGAAATTGAATCTGCACATTGTTGCCTGTTCTGGTATTGGGGGGAAGTCAGGAGCCCATCTGAGTGGTCCTGGGCAGTGGGGCAGGCCAGGTTTGCACACTTTGTGCCTGTGTCAGGTGAATACACAGCACACTTCGTCCAATTTGCATTTTCGCAAAACCSTCGGTCATCCATTGGATCACTGGTGCAGGTCAGGCTTCCTGCAGCCCCAGCATCACAATCAATAGCTCTGAACTGAAGAATCTGGCCCATAATCATCTTGCCCCAAGCAGAGTTGTGGCAAGACCCAAGTCACGCTTTAAAAATGCAACTGTGCCCCCAAGTAGCTTGGTTTGGGGGGAGGGGTTTAAATTTTTTTCATGTGATGCTGTGCGGTGTTTACCAGGTGTAACAGCAGGAGGTGCCCTGGGGAGTGTAGGTTCATCCTGCATTGCTGGCAGGGAGCTGAGGATGAGTCAGTGCCAGACTATGCACTGGAGAATGGTACCTGTTCTCGATGGCCGACAGCGGGTTGTGCCATGGGTGTGCACTGGCACTGCCTCRCAGATTGGGTCTGTGCTCACGGGCRCTGCRARCAGAGCCGTGCCCAGCTGGGTGCCACTGCAGTTCAGGACTCCCTCCCTGGCAGTGGGACCTGGGCTGGGTGAGTTGTTTGCACAAGCACATTCCTTCTCCATAGTGATCTGGTGTAAACTTTCCCTGCTCTCCAGCAACGCCTGCTTTCCAGAGAGGTGGGGTGGAGGCGATAAGGGCATTTGGCAGGGATGTGTCATGGCTGCGTCCTCTGAGTGTGTTTCTTCTCTCTCATCCTTCATAGAGTGCAAACAGCATTCAGGGTGTTTCTGGGAAACTTTGTACTGATTGAGAAGGGCAGGCTTGCAGAGCAAATGCTGACTTGATGTCAGAGCAGATTATAAATGTCCCCATTGATGGGCAGGATTATGGCTCATTAATGCACTCTGCTTACAGTTACTGCTCTGAGAAACACGGCTGCCAAGGGCAGCTGCCCATGGCAATGAATGYGGCACCTGGAGCTGTGCTGGAGGTGTGACATGGGAACGGGACAGTGGCAGCTGGCCAGGGWTGTGTGGCACTCCCAGGGTGGCACAGGCTGAGGGATGCACAGCCCTATGGATGGCACAGGGGTTTACCTGCCTGGGAGAGTGCAAACCTGCCACGCACTGAGCCAGGATGGGATGGGCAGGGGCTGGAGTTAAGCACAGCTCTAACCTGGCTAGACTTAGCAAGTGTGAAAGCCTGGCCTAAGARCCTTACCCACTTTTCCTGATTAAGTGCAGGGTTTGAATTTAAAAAGAGCTGCTTTCATAGGATGATCAGCTGGCTGCATAACCCAGGTGAAGTCACTTTTTTTTTGTCCTGCTCCTTGCTGTTGAGTGGCTCTCTCAGTTCCATGCAGAATTAACTTCGGGGTATTTTCACAGGACATGATMTAACCCAGGATATTACCTCGTGGTTACATTTTAATAGGTCCAGACGTGATCTGGAAGGCAGTGTAGGAGAAGCAGGGCTGTCTTGTTGAGGGAATTCGGTACTTTAAAAGAAGGGGGACTTGCAGGAAAGGGAGTTCTTTTTTAGCTAACACTCTGAGGGAGAACACGTGTGCTGGGGCTGTCACAGGCAGAGAACAGGGAACACCGGGTTGGTCACATCTCCCTGCCACCTGTAGCAAATGGAGATTTGGGTGGGGGCTGCAGGTACCAGAGCAGGGGCTGGACAAGACCCAGTGGGGTGATTTGGGTCATTCCCCTTTGCCGCCATGGCATCTGAATTTAGGCTTCATGAGAAGGAGGGGAAAGGACAGGATGTTACATCATTCCCCTCAGCCCTGGGAACGGGACTSTAAGGAATATGAGCAGAGGGGGCACCCAGTGAAGGGCTGCGGGTATTTCTGGAGCACAGATGAAAAATACAGCTGTTGTTTGCCCTAGTCAGAGTCTGCAGCCAAGGGCTGGGCTGCAGCCCCTGGAGACAGCTGCTGACCCTGCCTGTCCTGCATTTGCCCTGTAGCTGCTACTGGTCTCTCTGGGGGGATTTGGGGATGGCATGAGCCAGGGTACACCGCGATACCCTGGCTGCAGTATCTGGCAGAGGGTGATGGAGGGATATTAAAAGCTGGGATACTTTCCCAGGGCCCAGGAGGAAGCGGGGAAGGAAAAATTCTAGTTGGCTATAGAACAGTGGGAAACATCCATGAATGACAGGAGACATAAAGAGAAATCACCCCATCCTTGTCCCCAACCCAGGTAGAGCTGGGACTGAGCAGAGCTMAGACTGAGCAGTCCCACCATGGGCTGCTGGAAGCCACACTGCATTCTGCAGGAAACACCACTTCCTTTGCCGGCCGGAGCGCTGCGTCCTGCCCTGCCCAGCTCCCTCCCTTCCTGCCTGGGCACCAGGCCCAGCACAGCTCCAGAGCAGACGGGGTGGTCAATGTGGCTTCCAGCCTGGAGAATGTCCCCCTGGGCATGGGGAGCAGGACTCAACGATGCCTCCTCATCCCCAGGGGTGCTGGAACATCATGGGTGACACTTGCTGGGGCTGCCTGTGTTGCACAGTGATTTACAGCACCCCCAGCCTTTTCCCTGCTCCCAGAAGCCCCACAAATTCCTGCTTTGTTCAGGAACAACAGCGTTTACAGCAGGCTGACACCTTCTCCACCCGTGTTGTAAATCCTGATGCAAGACAAAGGCTGTGCTGGCCTTCAGCCAGTGCCCAGATCTGCTCTACCAGGGTGACAAAGCAGCTCCAGGGATGCTGGGCAAGACCCACACTGGGCATCACCCAGGGCATGGGCGGGTAGATGGGATAGGAGTGAAGTCCAYCATCCCTGCACTCCCCACATCCCACTGGTTGGCTCCCCGCTACCCCAAACCACACAGACAGGGATGGAGCCACACTGCCAGGAGTAAAATGATTTATTTCTTGCTGAGCTGTGTCCTAAAGGGCTGGGTAGCACAATCAGGCACGGGAAGCTGCAAGGGACCCYCTCTGATGCTGCCCTGTGTGTGTGCACATTTCACACACCYACTCAYGCAAGTGTGCACACACTCCATGAARCAGCACGTGTGCATTGACTGTTCCAAGTCCYTGTGCCACAGTGGGGTGTGGGGACAGGCAGCTGGCAGAGCCACCTCAGGCTTCCCCTGACAAGCCCAGGGCACCCTGTCCAAATGTGATACCCCCTGTAGACCACACAGGCAGGGCCAGCCTCATTTTATGTCTCCAGACCCTGTCCTCTGGTGGCTGGAGAGCAGCAGATCTGTGCCGATAGCATCGGGCTCCAGCGAGGGAGGAAGCTCTGGTCAGTGGGTCTGGCACACACAGCATTGTCACTTAATCCCCAAAACCAGCCCCCAYCTTCCCTCCATGTCCTTCCTCAGGCATGGAGAGCCCACATATCCTCAGACACCGCCAGCCTGTGGCAGGGTCCCCAAAGCCTGAAGCACCCTTGCACCCCTGCCAAGCTGCAGCAAGCGAGGGGTTCACATGGTAGGGGTTCACAGGGAAAGCGATGGGTATTTGGTGTTGCAGCTTTGCAAACWGCCACAGCAAGACAACTCATGCCTCTCCTGCTCTGCCAGCTTTCACTCGTGCCCAGCCCCTGCCATCCTGCTGGTGTGTCCCAGACACAGCCCAAGTCCTGGCATCAGTGCAGGTCAATGGTCTCATACTCCAGGTTGTCTGAGTCGTCCAGCTCGATCCCAGGTACCAGGTTGTAATAGCTGGTTGACTGACTCATGTACATCTTCTCCCGGTCAGCAGAGTCCTTCAGGACTTCACTCACACTGACAGTGTCCACCTCTGGCTCACTGCCCAGCTCCTCTGCCCGTGGTGCTGGGGTGCCCGGCTGCCCTTCGTGGGCTGGCAGCTGAGAACTGCTGGGGGATCCCACCTGTATCTCCACCTCCTCATAGAGATCTCTGCCACTCTCCAGTGGATCCACGAAGGGCTGCAGCACAACCTGTTTCCCCAGCAGCACTTTCTTCTCAGTCTTGGAGGGAGCAGCAGGCAGCTCGTAGGGGATGTAGTGGTGMGGCTCTGCAGACACCGGCACATTGCTCCTCTCTGCCATGGCGCGGTGGCTCCTGGACCTGCTSTGAAAGCTGTAGTTGGTCTTTTTCTTCTGCCGGCAGAAGCACCAAGTGACGCTGGCGAGGATGAGGAGAGGGGGCAGGCAGATGAAGAGGGCGGTGAGGCTGTGTGAGCGGCACAGCTCATCCTGGCGGATGCTCCAGAGGCCCAGGCCGTGGTAGTGCTCTGGTGTGTGGCAGAGAACCTCAGCGGTCTGGTTGGACCAACCCTCCAGACTGGTGAGCAGAGCACAGCTGCAGTCCCAGCTGTTATTGGAGAGCTGAAGCTGGAGCAGAGAAGGCTTCAGAAGGCTGTCAGGAAGGGAGGTGAGGGCATTGAAACCCAGGTAGACCTCCTGGACCTGGGAAGATGCTTTCAGGAAGGAGCTGGGTAGCTCCTGAAGCTGGTTGCTGTCCAGATAAAGGACCCTCAAATTAGGGGCATCTTCCAGAAAGTTTCCAGGGAGACTTTCCAGCAGGTTGTGACTTAAATGTAAGATCTCCAAGGCGGGAGGAACTCCCTGTGCGTTGCTGATGGCCGTGATGCCACAGTGTGAGAGGTAGAGCTCCCGCAGCCCCCGCACCCCCACCAGTGCGCCCCAGTCCAAGTGTGTGATGTTGGAGCTGGTGAAGTTGAGGCAGCAGCTCTCAGGGAGMGGAGCCTCCCGGAAAGCCTGGTAGTCCATGGGCTCTGAGCAGTTGCAGATTGGCGCTGCTGGGTCGAGGGCAAGACCGGCAGCGAGCAGGAGGCTGCTCCAGAGGGACGCGGTGCCCAGCCCGGCACCTGTGGGGAGAGCAGAGGGACGGTGACTCCTTGTTCGACCTGTCCTCCCGCTTCCCTTGCTCCAGCCTTCCCGGCGGGGCAGAGTGAACCCCACTCCTCCTCCCCACCAGAAAAGGAGCCGGTTGCTGCAGATCTTCCCGGAACCGTCCCCCAGTGCCACCGTCCCCCGCCAGCCCGGGGCTACTTCTCCCGCGACGTCCCGCCGCTCCGGCCGGGTGCCCGCGGGCAGCGAGCGACCCCCGGAGCTATGCCCGTGCCCCCCGGTGCCCCGCCGGCCTCACCTGCCGCCGTTCGCCCCATCCTCCGGGGCCGCTCCCCGTCCCGCAGCGCTCCCGCCGGGCGCGGCCGCCGGCTCCGCCTCGCCGCGGGGCGGCCCCG